CACACACACACACACACACACACACACACACACACACAGTAGTGGTTATTTCTGCAGTCCATTGTGAGGAATGAAAGAGTTTCTGACCTCTGCTCAAACTTGAGTGGTGACGGTCTGGAAGAGGGAAAGGAGCTCAGCATAACCTCAGCTCTTCCTCCAGGCAGATGGCATAATTAAAGCAGACATATGAGCTCCAGGGGGAAAGCCGACATTTGTACAAACATCAAAGCCCATGTTTTGGGAGTAACTGTGACCAATATAGAAAACAGCCATAATGTTTCAATACAAGAATGATGGCTCATGATATCCAGGAGAACTGTGAGTTCATGCAGCCGCAACACCAGCTGTGTTTCCATCCACCTATTGTTAATGCACGTTGTGGAATAATGCCTACAAAATTGATTAATGGAAATGGCAGGTTCGCCACGGTAGCTCAATGGTTGTCACTGTAGCCTCACAGCAAGTAGGTCGCTGGTTCGAGTCTCGGCTGGGCCCATTGGCATTTCTGTGTGGAGTCTGCATGTTCTCCTCATGTTGGCATGGGTTTCCTTCGGGTGCTCAGATTTCCCCTACAGTCCAAACACATGCATTATAGGTGAATTGGTTACAATGTTGGAAAATTGGAGAGTGTATGGGTGTTTCCTAGTACTGGGTTGCAGCTGGAAGGGCATCCACGGTGTAAAACATATGCTGGAATAGTTGGCGGCTCATTCGACTGTGGCTGCCTCTAATAATATGTAACATGTTTTTATTTTATTTTTAATTTTACTTTTAATTTAAAGAGTGAAATATTACTCCACACTGTAAAAAAATGCTGTTATTTCATGTTTTTTTTCCAGCAGCTAGGGTGCCAGAAAAAAAAGTTAAATAATGACAGTTAAATTAGAGATTTTCCAAAACATAACAGCCGTTAAATTACAGAAATGTAGCATAATATGTCTTTTATTATACAGAAAATTTACTGTAATATATTCGTTATTTTACATCTTTTTTTCGACATCTAGTGTGCCAGAAAAAAAATAAAATGATGGCAATTGAATTACAGAAATTTACCAAAAATAATGTCCGGGTAATGGCAGAAATTAATCGTAATTCGTCTGTTATTTTACATTTAATTTGGCAGCTAGGGTACCTGAAAAAAGTAAAATAATTGTCATTAAATTATAGAAATTTACCATAAAATACTGCCATTAAATTACAGAAATTTATCGAAAAATATCGGCTGGTAAATTACAGAAATTTACAGTAATTTATCCATTGTTTTACATTTATTTGGCAGCTAGGGTGCCTGAAAAAAATACAAATAATGGTCGTTAAATTAAAGAAATTTTCTATAAAATAACTGGCATTAAATTACATAAATTTATCGTAAAATAACAGGCGTTAAATTAGTAAAATTTACCACAAAATAACGGGTGTTAAATTACAGAAAATTACTGTAAAATTATGGCCGTTAAATTATTAAGGGTGCCAGGAAAAAAGCCCATAAAGTAATGGCTGTTAAATGACAGTACTTTGCCGTAATTAAAAAAATACAGTAAGTTTGTTTTTTAACGTCTCTTATTTTACTTTTTTCCCCCCTGGCAGCTAGGTTGCCGCACAAAAAAAAAGTAAAATAAGGGCTTTTAAATTTCAGAAATGTCCTAAAATAGTTTTTTTGCTGTAGTTTTACAGTAGATTTTCAGTATTTCCCAGAGCTTATAATATTTAATATGGAACTGTACATAATATTGTGGAAAGTTACTAAAATCCATAAAATTGTACGTGTTGAACAGTGCTATAATTCAAGTAATGAGTCATAAATGCAAAACAGTGTTTTAATAATTTATTCACCAAAAATAAACATGACTGCAACAAAATTGTAATTGAAAATTTTGTCCAAATGATACAATTAGACCACTGTAACAAGATAAAATTTTGTTTGTTTACAACAGCAAAAAATACATAAATAAAATCAAATGTAATACAAACAATCAATCTGTTTTAGTATTATCGTCCTTGACCAAAAAAAAAAAAAATAAATAAATAAATAAATATATATATATATATATATATATATATATATATATATATATATATATATATATATATATATATATATATATATATATATATATATATATATATATATATATATATATATATATATATATATATATATATATATATATATATATATATATATATATATATATATATATATATATATATATATATATATATATATATATATATATATATATATATATATATATATATATATATATATATATATATATATATATATTTATATATATATATATATATATATATATATATATATATATATATATATATATATATATATATATATATATATAAATATATATATATATATATATATATATATATATATATATATATATATATATATATATATATATATATATATATATATA